TGTGCTTCCACCTTGGGCTTTATCGCACCCGGGGCTCCCCGAGTTACTGCTGAGCGACTCCAGCCCGATTTGCAAAATCAAACCAGATGGGCGCTTTGTTTTTCCTTACGGAGGGAAGGCTGGGAGTGAAAAGCCCTATTACAATGCAAATACCGGGCTGGCGTGAATATTCAAACCGCTGCGCTGCTTTTGAAGCTCTTTACATAAATTTATGGTGCTTTTATACGCCATCGCTGCTTTGCTAATCTGGAGTGGAGCTTGGTTAACAGAATCCCTGCTCTCTGCCAACTTCGGAGGGTTTGGGGGTGTTTTGGGGTGCACGGGGAGAGGTGGCATTGAGGTGCAAAGCGAGAATTATGAGCGTGGTCAATTGGGGGGAGGAACCGCCAGCTGTAAGGCTGACTCTGGTGGTGACCCTTGAAGAGCCGAGCGTGCTGTCAAGTGATTTACTGATATTTAGGTGCTTTATTGTCCTTTTGGGTTTTGTTTTTCCCTTTCCCTTTGGTTTCTCCGGGTGACCCTTTGTGGAGCTGCTGCTCCCAAGAAGGGACAGGGTGTTGCAGGGTGGGCTGAGCTGGGAAATTGCCCCAACACGGTGGGGGGGCTTGGGGGGTCTGTGCACTGACAGGGCACCGAGCTCTTCTCTCGAGTCCCGAGGGAACAGCTGGAGCTGCCAGGAGAGGTTTAGGTTGGATATTGGGAAAAGGTTCTTCCCCCAGAGGGTGGTTGGGCACTGAACAGGCTCCCCAGGGCAGTGGGCACGGCCCCAAGGCTACCAGAGCTGAAGGAGTGTTTGGACAATGCTCTCAGGGACAGGGTGGCATTGTTGGGGTGTCTGTGCAGGACCAGGAGTTGGACTTGGATGATCCTTGTGGGTCCCTCCAACTCGGGTCATTCTGTGATTCATCAGAGCTGCTTTGCCGCTGCTGCGATGGATGAAATGGTTCATTAGGGGGAGGAGATAATGAGTTTGAGGCAATCTCAGCTCTGGTTTTCCAGCAAGGGCTCAAGGGTTTGGTTTTGGTGGCTGCTGGGCATCCTGTATAAACCCCACCATTACAAACTGGGGTCCTGGTGGCTGTTGCCAGCTGTGTTCACACTGTCCCCATTGTCACAAGCGCAGCAGGAAGGGAAAGTTGCTTTAAACTGCCCACACATGGCCGTGCTCTCCAGCCCAGGGTGGACACTACAGAGCTGTGACATCCCAGGGAGCAGGTGCTTGTGTTTTGGAGGTGGCCACAGGATGCTACTGGGTAGTTACTGCTAATTACCGGGCCCTGTTTGAGTCCAGGGGGATCACAAGTAGCAGCCAAATCAGCATTCTCCTTGCTGTCCCTTGAAAGCAATGACTTGATTGAGGCCACTGCCCTTCCACAGAGGGCTGGTTGGGGTGAGGGCAGGGTACCCATAGCCCTAATTGGTGTTGCAGCCCACGGGGACGTCTGGGCAAATCATCCCCAAAATCTCCATCTTGTGCCGTTGTACAGCAGGAAACGTGGTTTTGCACCAATCTGGTGAAAGGTGTCCCTGCCCATGGCAGGGGGGTTGGAATGAGATGGTCTTCAGGGTCCCTTCCAACCCAAACTGTTCTGGGATTCTGTGATTCCTATTGGTTTTCACCCCTAAAAAGGTAATTGTGCTAATTGTAGTGTTTTTACTTGCTGATGCCATTGATTGACCAGGTAATTTGTGTCTTCATTAGCTCCAGGCTAAAGCTTGGGGGTTGGTATTGATTCCAGGCACTTAATATGCGACGCAGTAATTACTGTTTAAGCCTATATTGTTTGAGTTAAATTTAGCTGGGAATTTAGTCCTATCAGGCCTCTACATTGTGTGCTGTGAAGGTTATCTGGCTCTCAGGAGGGGGGAGATTTAGGGGAAGGAAAGAAATGCCGGTGAAAACTTCCTCTTCTCATCATCCCCGAGCGCTTTGCTTCCCCGGACTTGTTGTAGGGAGAACAGAAATAAGGAATAATGTGGCCGTGACTCTCCTAAACCTGCACCTTTCAGCGCTGCCTGCTCAAGCCGGTCATTTTGGGGGACTTGAAACGACCCAGAAGGCCAGCAATAAATCTGAACAAAGTGATGCCCCGCGCGGGGACCCCTCTCCTCCTCGCAGGGGACCGGGGAGCCCCCGCTCAGCTGCTGCCCGCCTGCCCCCATTATCCCGCCCGCTCCGGCCGCCCTCCTGCATCTCAGCTGCTGGCCCATCTGGAGCAGAGATGAAAGGCTGGGCTTTAATTCGGGCTTTGTGTGCCTCTTGTGCGTGTCCCCCCCCTCCCCTCCCAGCCCTTTCTCTGCTGCCAGTCCCCCGGCGCGGGTGCCGAAGGTGGCCGCGCTCGCCGGGGCTCTGATGCCGCTGACCTCATTATTGTGACTGCTGGGCGATGCCGGGCGAGCCTCGCCGGCTCATCAGGTAGGAGGGCTGGGTGGCTGGGTTGTTTTTTACACACACACACACACACAGCCCCCCCTCTCGAAGCAGCGCTGAATAATTCAGCCGGGAGTAGGCATCTTGGGTCACCTTGCGCAGCCGGCTGCGTGCCGGAGCCGGCTTCCTAAGATGGAGGTTGTGCGGGATGCGTGCGGGATCGCCCGGCTGCTGGCGGCCTCCTGGCGCTGACTGACTGCAGGTAGGCAAAGAGCCCTGTCCTTTGCTGTTGATTCCCGACGCTTTTTGTGCTGGGAAGCAGGAAATCCCTTTCCCGGGCTGTGCAAGGGTGGTTGGGTCCCCAGTGAGCTCCGTCCGTCCCTCGCCGTGGGGACGTGTGAGGCTGCCAGGGCCAGCGTGCCAAAATCTCACCTGGGCTGTAGGGCAGGTCTGGCCCCTGGCAGGGACCAGGCACCCACCTTTTCTTTTCCTTTGGGAATTGTATTTTTCTTGCTGGTTTTATGGGCTCCCTAATGCCTCCTGCACCTGGAGCCCATCTGGACTTGCCCAGGCTAAGATTTTGGGGCTTCTTGCTGGTGTGGCACCAAGAGGGGTGAGCCCAGTGCTCCAGCAGCATGGATTCTCAGGGACATGATGGGAGATGGCATTTAGCTCTCTGTGCTGTCTGACTGGGGGAACTGGTTCTGGCAGTGGAGGAGTAGGGTCGGGTGCTGGAGACATCTCCGGGGGGCAGGAGGTGGCTGACCCTGAAGATAAGAGGCTCGAAAATGCCTGGGAAGCTCCGTGAGTTGGAGTCACCTTCGCTGCAGGCTTGGCTGTGAGTTTTGGGGCTGCTGGAATGTGCAGGCAGGGCTCCCTGACACACCAGCATCAGCAGCAGCCACTGTGGAGCCCCGTGGGTGCAGGTGGGAAATGAGGATACCAGAGTGAGAGTGGAAACTAGTTTGTTGCCTTCCTCCTGCTTGCAGGCGCCTGAGTTTTTGGGTGCTGCCTCCTCCTCTGTGCCCTGAGTGCAATGTGTCTGCACCCTCCCTCCTCCCTGCAGCGCTTGGGTGCTGTGATAAATCAGCTCAGGAGGGATCTGAGGGGGGGGAAAACAGGGGATTGTAGGGTGTGAGCCTCAGGTGCAGGGATATAGGGATGGGGAGTGTCCACGGTCATCCTTGTCCGTGTGGGTGCAGGAGGAAGGGCAGCCAGGCTGGGCTGTGCCTGTCCCATGGACCCTGCATCCCTCAACAGATGTGGGATCCCGAGGATGCTCTGCCTTGGCATCTGCTCCTGCAGCCAGTGGAATCAAGGACACGGCTGCTGCAGTGCCTGCCCTGGAGATTTCCCAGTGGTTGGGCTGTGCTGGTGGGCAGGGGGGTGAAATTGGGCTGCAGTTGGAGCAGCTTTGCTTGTTCTGGGATGTTTGTGAGCGCTGCTGGTGACACGGGCAGCCACAACAACCCTGTGAGGCTTCTCCATAGCAGGGCTGGATGGTGAGGGGGTTTGGATAGAACCCCTGTTTTGGAGAATGTGGCTGAGACAACCTGCAGCAGTGTCACCAAAATAAAATTCTCATGGCTGAGGCTGGCCGAGCATCCCGGGATTCCCAGTTGTGTCTTTGGGATACCAGGTCCCTACAGTGCCCACTGTCACTCAGTGCACTCTGGTGATGATGGTGGTGGTGGCACATCCACACCAAGGCTGTGTTGTGGCACTGGGTGACACTGCTGCCACCCCAAGCCGGAGAGGAGCCCCAGGCCAGGCTGGTAAATGGATCCGGCCAAATGCTTCGTTTCAGACAGGAAATTTCCCTCTGCTCCCCTGCCAGAACAGTTCCTGGGGCTGTGATCCTCTGTTAGCAATGGATGAGAGGAATGAAAAATTGCCTTGGAAGGGCCCTGAGGCAAGCTGGGGGAGAACCACCTGGGCTTTGTGTGCCCAGTGCAGGATACCAGACACATTTTGGCTGTTTCCATGCCGGGGTCTACTCTGCTCCGGGGCTGGGTTTGCTGCCACTTTAGCAGTGTTTTCTCTGCCTTCAGCCAGGATTTGACCTGGCAATGAAGGAGAGCAGTGCAGTGAGTGCTTGGCAGTGCTGGGGGAATGATTGGACTGGATCTTGGAGGTCTTTTCCAATCTAAGTGATTCCATGATTGGCGCAGGGGTGTGTGTTGTGTTGGTGGAGGGGGGGATGTACACAATGTCTGCCTGGCCTGAAGGGTTTGGGTTGGGGTCTCCTGCCCTCCCTTCTTCAGGCAGAGCCCCACCCTCTGTTCCCTGCAGCTGCTGAGCTGTTGCTGCTGGGATGGTTGTTTACCTTCTCACCAAAGCATCACCTGCAACACCTGGGGATCAGTGGAGCTCAAGGGAACAATTTTCCCCCGCAGCACCTCAGCTGCTCCAGCTGAGCCAAATGAGCTGCTCGTGGAGTCGATGTGAGGTGGCACTTGAGGGCTGTCCCAGCCACCTGGGCTGTCCCTGCTGGAGGGTTTGGCTCCACAGGCTTTTTCCCTTTAGTCTTTCTGCTGTGTGACTTCTGCCTTCCGCCAGTGGGGTGGGAGAGGCTGGAGCAGTGGTGGAGCACCGGGTTCGCTCAGCACGAACGCACGCGGCCACCAACAGCCTCGTGGGCAGCTCCTGCACCAGCCCTTGGGGTTCTTCACCATTCCATGCCATGGGCACAGTGGTCAACGTTCACCTGCCCCATCTCTTCCCACAGGTGAGCGTGGCAGGCTATGGGATGGATGAAGCTGAGCAGGACCAGTATGAAGCTCGGCTCAAGGAGCTCTTCGACAGCTTTGACAGCACGGGCACGGGGTCCCTGGGGCAGGAGGAGCTCACTGACCTCTGCCACATGCTGCACCTGGAGGAGGTGGCCCCAGCACTGCAGCAGACCCTCCTCCAAGGAAACCTCCTAGGCAGGGTAAGGCTGGGGACGTGGGGGGGCTGGGGAGCCAGACACAACTGTGTGTGGAATTGTCTTGGAAGGAGACTGAATGTCTATAATTTGAATATTCAACATCCCTGAGGTTCTGGGGCTGCAGGACTTGTGGGGTCTGGTGGTCTGTTCAGCAGGGTGGGCACAGGGTGACTTCTGAGAGGGGAATCATGATAACGGGGAAGGGAACTGCTCTGCCCTGGCTGGAGGTGGTTTGAAACTCAGAAGCCATCACTTTAGGCTTGGCCTTGTGCACTGCTGTGTTTTCCCAGCATCCAAGGCCAGACCAAGTGCTGGGTCCTGGCTGCTCTGCTCACACAGTGCCCGTGCCCCTGGCACTGCTTTGTGCTGCTGCTGGCCTGGGTCAGCTCCCTGATCCAGCTCACCAGGTGCTTGCACAAACTCTACAGCCCTTGGGATGAGACAGGGACCTAAATCCAGGGCTTGAGCCTGTGATTTACGTTGGCTTAAGCTGTAGTTAGGCTGGCAGGGCTGTGTGCAGTCATGCACGTCTCTCCAAGGTACAGAATATTGTCCAACTCAGGCAGTCGCTGGCTTGGCCACCTTTGTCCATTTACCTGGTGTTGGTGGCTTTCCAAAGCCATTTTTTTGGTTGTGGTTGTACCTTTAGGGAGTTAAATGCCAGGGCACTGAGCAGAAGCTGCTTGCCCTTGGGGAGATCTCCACATGTCCTTGTGCCCTCTGCATTACATCTTTCCCAGCACACTGTGCTCGGAGTACATTGGATCCTTCCCTTAAAATCACCCTGAAATCCCATCACTGCTCGTTAAAATCAGAAAACGTGGAGCAGGGCAGCCAGGGCTCTCGATAGACAGGAGCTAGGTGGCTATTCTGACTCCAATTTCTGATCAAACTGCAGCTTTCAGGAACAAAGTTCCTTTAACAAACAAAGCC